GAAGCAATTTTATGACAACATATTTTTATGAAAATATACCTAAGATGTTAGTAAACACGATTTTTTTACTATTTCACAACTTCATTTACAATTATTCCTTTGCATCGTCGATGTTTATTGGTCACTATGTAGTAACATCCATGTACATTTTCACAAAAATGTATTAAGAGCCGTTTTAAAGTAAGAGCATAAAACAACTTGTAAAATTTCTACTTTAACACTGGAACTTTTTTACTATCCATGTTTTAAGTAAGCAAGTTAGCTTAAATCGACTTATTTTCGACCGCAGAAACTGTGGTAAAATTTATTGTACATCTTTTTGTTACACGCTGTATATCTACCATTTTGTAGAGTTCAATGAGAAACAGTCAACTTCATATTCATAACTGAGACGATATTTAAAAAAGTTTCTTATTTACGTGGATTTCTCTGGCTCAAACCTCATCAGAAAATCCGATTTTTGAACCGGTTACGGTCCTGTAATTTATTTTCTACTGCCCTGGTCAAGTTTGCAGTTAGCTCGTTTTGCATACGAATGAAACGGGAACTTTACCGTCCATTGTTTGATGGCTCGTTTTTTTTGAAGGAAACTATTTACTATTCCATTTGAATTTTGATGGCAAAAAATAAGTACATTAGGATAGAAGGATAGACCCATTACTCAGTTTCACATCATAAATATTTGAAGTGGTAATGGATTGTAATTGGGAATTTTAGTTGAGCAAACGCTCTCTGGTGGAATAAACGTAGACTTAATGAAGCAGAAATATTTGTAAATGATTCACAAAACCATCGCTTTTTAGTGCAGTAAAGTTTTAAGATTATGCATTTATACCAATTAGTTTTTCATACCTAGGATACAACATATCAAGACAAAACATGTAATTAAAAAAATTGTCTATGCGCATTTCCATGGTATTTTCTTTAGTTTGTGCATCAAAGTTTCTTCAACATTTCTTTTCATTGCAATTGGATACTTCTACTCATGGGCCTTCGCAGGAAAAAATAAAAAACGTTTCAGTTTATCAACAACTAAATTGTACATGTAGGTACCTATACAAAAATTATAATAGTGAATTAAAATTATGTCCTGTCTACTTTTATTTACCATAATAAATGTTTATCTACATCAGCATTTTCATATTAGGCCCTGACGTCTTCTCTTCCTCTTGCTGGTGCGCTAGAGGAGTCTGGGCGTCGTCTTTGCAGTAATAGTAGTACAAAGTTCTGATAGCTGAGTTCGCTTTGACGATACGATCTTGGGTGTATTTACGGAACGTTAGTCCCATGTCTAGATATACCCCCAGGTACTTACCTCCTGCCTTAGTGGCTACCCTTTGTCCTTTTATGCTTAACTCCGTAATTATGCTTTCTTTTCTTCTTTTTCTGAGCATTAAGCTTTCTGTTTTATTTGTGTTTAAGCACATTTTGTTATTATCTAGATAAGGGACCAACCAACGTTCTGTTTATATGAATGTCCAGTCTTCTATTCGCTATCTCTGTAGATGATGAGGTTTTGTACACACAAGTGTCATCCGCGTACAGTGCCGTCTGTATACCGTTAGTATTCATGGGCATGTCATGAGTCATAACGGTATACAGGTAAGGCGACAGTAGTGAACCTTGAGGTACTCTCGCTATCGCATTGTATGGTCCTGTTAGAGTTTTGTTTATTTTAACGTAGAATGTTTTGTCCTGCAGGTATGAGTGAATCGTTTTTACAATGTTATTAAGATAATCATTTATAAACATTTTATATATTAGCCCACAGGTCCAAACCGTGTCAAAGGCTTTTTCTGTGTCTAGTGCTACCACTGTCATTATTCGCCTCTTTTGCTTGATGAGCGATTCTTACTACTTGAGTAACCGTACTGTGCCCTTCGCGAAACCCGTATTGTTCCTGCGGGATAATATGTTTGTCTCGTTCTATGTCTTTTAGTCTATTTAATATTATGGTGTCGATTGTTTTTGTTATTGTGTTCAGTAGGGAGATAGGACGGTAACTCTCAATATATTTCGCGTTTTTCGCTGGTTTTCGAATAGCTATGATATTCGCTACCTTGAGGGCTGCTGGATAGTACTGCAATTTCAATAGAGCGTTTATAATGTTACGTAGTTTTACGAATGCCTTCTTATTCATATATTTCAACATTAAATCGTTAATTTGGCCAGGTCCCGGGGCTTTACGATTACGTATCTTCATAAAGGGTTCCCTTACCTCTTTAGGGGAGGTAAGTTTGCTGTTGGGTACATTCTGTGGTTCCATGTTGCCTGTCATTCGCTATGTCCTCTATGAGCTGTTGTTTGGCGTTATTTTGTAGATTATTACGGTAATTTTTTGCGAAATATTTCCCAAATTCTTCCTCTTTCTGGACTTCAGTATGGTACATGTCGTTATTGTCCTATATTATGGGGAACTGCGTATATGGTTTCTTAAACTACTTAGCAACTCTCCACAAAGAGTTATCGCTTGGTTTCAGGTCCCTTAATAGAATTCCCTAGTTTTTGTTCCTAAGTTCCTTAATTGCCTTGTTCATTGCCTTAGAGATGTCCAGCAACCTGATTCTGCTTTCGCCCCTGTTCTGTTAATTTGCTACCTTTTTCTGAAACGATTTTTATTGTTGATTATTTCCTGAATTTCATCAGGGAGTACTTCTTGATGGAATTTTACGTGCCTCAGGACTGTTGCGCCATCTCTTGCTGCAATAATGGCTCTCGTCAAGTTCTCAATTTCTGTCTCAAGTTTCGTCGGTGTGTTAATTTTATTGTTGATTTTATAGTACTGGTCGAGTATATTTCTATACTCTTTCTAGTGTGTCGTTTTAAAGTCATTGTGTGTACCCCTTTGTCTTTTTATGTTATGCGTGGTTCCGATTTCAAGATAAACTGAGTCGTGATCTAAATTTAATGTATAGTCCAAGTGCATTTGGCATTTTTTATAATTGGTGGGGTGATCTCCTCCGTAATTTACACACTTTGCGGCTGTATTCCTAGTTTTCATGCAAATTTTCGTGTTATGATCTCCGGCACATTTTAGTCACTTAGATGGTCTGCCCACGCCTGGCAGTTACGACATTGGCCCTGCGCAGTTCCCATGTCACTCTTGTGTATAGTACATCGCTTGCATTTTTATTGAGACAATCCAGGGTTATGGAGGGGTCAGTGACCACCAGGAATAGGGGCCTGTTTTTATTCGTCATTTGGTACGCTGCTCTGAGTTTTATCTCGTATGTCTCCATCATATCTTCTTCCAAGTCCGAGATTTACGTGCCTTCTCCTAGCCCTCTAATTAGAAATGCGTGCAATTTTTTGCACTTGGCTGTGAAAGTATGGAATGGCAGTTCGTCCTGTTTTACTTTGTGTAGGAAGTAATCGTAATCTTCTTTGCTTTCTGTGAATATTATTGTTGTACCGTTTGTATATTTTACATTGAATGGTCCTTTTATTATTTGTTTTAGGACACCTGTGAACCCGTTTTGATCACCTATTACCCCGTCCAGTATTATTTGGGGCATATTAGACCTTTTTTTTTTGTTTTTTTGAGCATTTTGTGTAGCCTTCTCATTTTCATTTTGGATTTTTGTGTCCTTATTGGGGTTGTTTCTGTTGTTTCTGGCTTCCTTCTTTTTACTGCTCTGGTTTCAAGATTTTCATCATCTGACGTATCTGTCAGTACCTGGTAACGATTTTCAGTAGTTATGGATAACGTGGCTATGACTTTTTGGTGTAGCAATTTTTTTAGATTGGAACTCACCTTTGTAAGGGTGACAAATTTCTAATTTTCAACTGGTTAAATTTGATTTGTAAGAATTGTTTATGAGGTTTTCATTCAAATCAATTGAGACTTCCATACTTTCTATGGAATTAGTATCTTCATTATTTTTCTGCAGTTTTTGCCTATGTTAGTTAGGGGATGTTATGTCCCTTATGGGTTTAGGTACAAGGGTTGTTTTAGTCTGTGTACCCTCTTTAGGCTGTGTTCGGGTATCTGCAAGGCTTAGATGTTTCTGGACGCTCATGCTTTTACTGAATATTAACTTTAGAAAACATCAGCAAAGAGGGTGAAGAACTTTTGAAGCATATCCAATAGTCTAATAGATTCAAATATTTTTTAAAGCTGTGAAGTTTTGTTA